AGCATTAGGGACAATGCCCTTTGAGTGCTTTGCTGATCCCCTTTATCACAGGGACTTGGCAAGAGAAAGCAGGGAGCGAGGCACCGGAAGGATCTTTGCTTCCATCCCAAAGGCAGTTTGTAATCTGATTCCTGAAATGGGTCTTCAAGCTGCAAGGAAGCTCTGTAGCTTTTTTTTTTTTTTTCCCCTTTAAACAGCTTAGCACCTTTTAAACCTGGCAGAGTGTTCTGGGAGCTGGGCCAAGACTCTGCTCTGGGCCCTGCCCCACGGTCCCCATTGTCATTAGATGTCATTTTCTGCCAAAGAGGTGTGGGAGTCATCCCATGGCTGTTCCCCAAGAGTACTGACCAGCCAAGGGCTGCTTTGCTGAGGTCAGTGGTACAAGGGAGTGGGGAGAAGGCAGGGGATGCTGCAGTGCAGTGGGCTGACCCAGAGCCTTGGGTCCCAGGTAGGACACAGTCCTGCTGGCACAGCCTCATTACCGAGGTCAGGTATCCGTCCTGCTGAGCTCTGCTCTTTCCAGCTCCTAGCAGCTGCTCTTGCACTGCATGGCATGGATGTACCTGGGGTGTGAAAGCAGCCAGGAGGCAGTGAGCTTTGCCTCAGAGCCCTGGGGTGCTTCTTGCCTGTTTTCCATCCTCCTCTTCAGCCCCCCAAGTCCAGGCATCAGTGTGCAACTGGCTGCATGTGGGACTTCCTCAAAGTGAAAGCTTGGCTGCAGTGGAGAAGAATCCAGATGCAATCTTGGCCTCTTTTCACAAGATGTAAGTCAGTGGCAGCTGGGAAGTGATATGTTCCTGTCTAATTAATTCTTTTCCAGGGAATAAAAAGCAATGTTTTCAGTTTGGTGTCTGTGATGGATTGATCATTCCTTTAGGCAGATGTGCAGACAGACACGGAGAAGCAGCCGGAGTCCTGGGCTCTGTGTTCACATTGGTGTCTGGCTGAGCAGCTTCATTCTGGGCCGGGAAGCAGCTGAGATCTCTGGTTTCACTATGGGGCTGTTCCTTTCCCAGGGGAGACAGGAGACTCATCACTCCTCAGAAACATCACAAAAACTGCTGACCCTGAAAACATGGAGTAATCTGCGATTTCCAGAGTGCCTCCCTTGTCCTTTCCTCCTGCAGCTGCTTCCCAAATGGTTGACATAAACTTGGAGCACTTTTGGGTTCACAGAGCCTCTACATCAGCGATGGCTGCAAAGGCAGAAACTTTCTCCTTCATGCTGTATATGAGACCTGCAGTGTGCAGCTCCTGATGGGTTTCCTTCTCCCTTGATTGTTGCCCATGAGCAGCACAGGGTGTGCTGTGGTACAGCACCCCAAACAAACCCCTCAGCCCTCCAGCCCTGTGTCTGGGGACTGGGAGAAGGTGCTGCACAACTTGGTGTTCTTGCCACATATAATGTGTTAGGAGAGTCCTCACTGTCACTGGGGACAGATAAGACCATATGTTGGAATACTTTAGGTAATACCTTGACAGTGGTGGGTCAATGGTCACCTTAGGGGTCTTTTCCAACCAAAATGATTGAATGATTCTGTGAAGAAACTGATCAGCTTGAAGCACTTGTGGTTGGATGAGGGCGAAATACAATTCCTGTCTTTATCTGTATAAAGACCTGTTTAATATGTCTAGTTAACATGCTGGAGCAAAAGAACTATTTGTGAAGAGAGACGTGCTTGTTAAGCACTCAGTGCTGCCCATGTACACAAATTTGTATTTTTTTAATAAAGGGTTTTTTGCAGGTTCCTCATCCAAATGTGCTCTTTCTTCTCAGTGTATAGTGGGCAGGGTTAGGCTGGCTTTGCTCCTCGGGGCCACCAGTGCTTTTTAAATGCCAGGTGTTCCTACTTGTGACAGAGGAGCCCAGGAGCACCTGGGCCTGTGATCTTGTGTGTCATCCCCCCACCACTGTCTTACCTGTCCCTGCAAGCAAAACACTCAAATTCAAGCTGCCCTCTCCTTCACAAGGGGCATGGTGTCCTTCAGCTGTTCTGTCATTAGGATCTTCGGGCAGACAAGGTGTTAATGGGAAAAGCCTTCCTGCCCACCCATCCTCAGTGCTGCAAATCCTTCCTCTGTGGCAATGCTTTCCTAACTTTTTATGTGATTGTCCCGAAAGCTGATGATAAACAGCTCCTGTTTGTGGGCAAAGTCAATGCTGAGAATTGTAATGGCAGACTGAGGGAAGAGAGAAAGGGCAGCCCCATCCCTGGCACCATGAAGGAGTGGCAGCTGGAGGATTAGCTCTTTCCTGCATAGCTCAAGGGAAACTTTCCATAAACAACTGGCACCACTCCCCAGTATGAGTTCAGCCTCTACACTTCTACATTATTTATTTCTTTTCCCCCTAGAGGTCTCTTGCTCTGACATGTTCAAGTGCCTGTGGAACACCTGTGCACTTGAACATGTCCCTAGTGCTGTCTGCAGGGTCTGCCTGGGCACTCTGTGCCTCTCAGAGCATCTAGAGTGGGGCACTTCAGAGCAGAGGGGCATCCAGAGGGGGAGAGGAGCACACAGAAAGCACTCAGGCACTCGGCATGTCTGGAGATTGTGCCAGTAAGGAAAGGCAGTAGAGGAACTTTTCATTATTCTTTGTGTTTGGAGTGACCATGAGGAGGCACATGGTCACTGCAGGCTGTTACCTTATGCAGGGTGAAACTGTGCATGTTTGGGCTCCTGGGAATAGCCCAAAGGTAAAGATAAGCTAGTTCTTTGCTCAGGTCAGTAGTTGTCCCTTAATCACAGGCCAGGAGGCTACCAGAGGGCTACTTCTGCCTCTTCTTGCTCCTTACCAGTGTGGGTGAATGAGACCTTGAGTCCTGCTCACTCCTCTCTGAGCTGGGGTCCTCCAGCAAAGCTTGAGGAAAAAGGAGAGTGCTGGGCACCCTGTCAGCCAACAGAGAGTAGGGTGTGAATGGAAGAGAGGAGGAGACCTCCACGCTGACAGCACACTGAATTTCAAGACTTTTGAAAGTAATTCATCACCTCAGAGCAACCAGTTGATTGTTCTCCCTGAACAAACTTGGTTCATCTTCTAAGCAATCATAAGAAAGCACGGAAGAGCAAATGGTTGACCTGAGGGCTTTGCTGCCCTGTCTATTCTTTTAACAAGCTGTGTCTGAAAAGCACATGTTGAGGGGTTTGATGCTCAGCAAGGACCCAACTTGGCCTACAGCCATCTACCATGTTAGCACAGTATTCATTCTAGTGCATAGAGACAGAGAGAAATCCAGCTACGTGTTGTTCATACTGGTATTTTCCAGCAAGGGGATATGGCACATATGGGAACATATCAATGCTTCAGCTTTTTCATACCAGTAGTTTCAAATTTCTATTTCAGCTAATGTAGAGAGACGGAGTCAAAGAAACTGATCAACAGGCAGGAAAAAAATCTATAAAATCTTGCTTTGCAGTTCATCTGATAAAGGAAATATATAGTGTGTAAACCTTGTTTCTCACCAAGATTCACATTTGTGTAACTCTGATTTTTCTGTCCCTCACACTGTTATTTCCCCTCACATCACATCCCTTTGTCCTAAGCCAGTAAAAGGATGGTCAGAACAATGTTTTTTGTTTGTAGCAAGAGAGGAGATGTGTACACTACCTATGCTAGCAACTCTGAACAACTGCAGAACATCTTTATAAATGTATTTATAAAGATAACACCATCTCTGAACTCTCCATTCATTGCACTATTGCCAAACATAAGAAGCTGAGACAATTGAAATCTGCCAGCATGGGAAAGCAGGGAGACCTAATGCTGCCACAGTGACCTGCACATGGATGGTGCTGCACTCACCAGGGCCATGGTACAGACCCTGGGCTTTGTGAGTGACCCCCTTGACTGCAAACTGGCATCCTGAACTCCTTCTCACCCTGCAGCCAAAAGAGGCTTCTCACATAGGATATCTGAGTCTCTAGGCAGGGAGTAACTGTGCAACTGAATACTCAAAAGCCAAACAGCTTGAATCCCTACACTGCTCAGACCCCAACACACCTCATCCACTATCTAATATATTTGGATGGATGTGTTCCCTCCTGACATCTTGATCATGGGAAAAGATGCTACATGGGCTTTGGATGAAGAGTCAGCAAAAGATGGAAGGTCATGGGGAATAGGAGTGCTTCAGGATGGGCCCCTGTGGATGTTTCCATTGGTTTGGTTCAGTGCCATGATCTTCAGACTCAGTGGTTTGGACTCACGCTGGGCTCAGAGCTGGACCAGCCTATCCAGCAGTTCAGGAACTCATGAGCTTTGTGTCTCATATCAGGGTCCCTGCACTGACTCCAGCTGTGGCCTGAGCTTTCAAGAGGAAAGAGGTTCAGAAGGGGACCCAGTGTTTGGTTTTGCATTGTGCTGCCAGACAAGAATATCCTGTTGTTATGTGGAATCACTGAAAACTTTAATAGCATCCCTAAAACCTCCCTCCCCTCCCAAAGCATTTTTCTGGCTCTTAGCATGTTAGGGAGTAGCTACAGACTCCCACAGCAGAACTTGCAGGATTGAGTGGTCTTGGCAGAGTAGCTGCAAAGGGCATTGTGTTTAATAAAAGGGCTAGACTTTACAGTTAGGGTTTTCCCTATGTCTTGAACTGAGATTTGGTCTTTGGATGTTAAGTGCTGGGCTGATGAACACAGAAAATACAAACTGGCTCCCTGCGTCCCTCTGGCAGCAAGCAGGCAGGCACTTTTCTCCTGCCCTGGGACACTGGGGCAGATTCCCTGCAGATTCCTACAGTCCTTGCTAAGGAGGCGTGATTTGCAGCGGTGCTGGGCGCCTGCAGGTGCTGCCCTCCGCAGGGGCAGTCCCGGTGGCTCAGCACCGCTGGGAATCAGGCGAGGGGCTCCCGGCAAGGGCGAGGGCAGGGGGAGCGGGGCCGGGGGGAAAAGAGGAGCAGCGGTGCTTGCTGATGCTCAAACAAAGGTCTGCCAATGGAGGGACCTGCCGCAGGGCCGGGGCTCTCGGGCCCCACAAGTCAAACTGCACAGAGTCACAGTTAGTCGTCGTCATCATCATCATCGTCATCGTCGTCATCATCGTCGTCATCGTCGTCATCATCGTCATCATCATCATCGTCGTCATCTTCATCGTCATCATCATCCTCGGTGTTTATCTTCCCAGAAAGCACATCCTCTATCCAATCCTCCAGCTCCTCGGCTGTGGGCAGGTCGTCATCATCTCTGATGTCCATCCAGACACTGTCAGCCTGTGGGGACAGGTGATGAGGGTCAGCTGTGCTCAGGGACACAGGGCGGGACACAGCTCTTGGGGGGTGAGGGCAGGAGCACGGCTGGGATGCGGGGCATTGGCTCCCTCTTTGTACAGCCTGTGGGCAGGCTCAGCCAGAGCGTCCCTCTGCCCATGCCCTGGGATCCCCACCTCCCCCTGGAGTGCTGCTGCGTCTGACCAGGGCAGTGGGACTGGTCAGCAGGTTTATGGGAGTGTCTGGTGCTGTGTGCCTGCTGCCTATGGCTGTGAGCAGGAGCACTGCCCACCTGATGCATTCCTCACTCCATCTGGACAGTTCTGTAGACTCCAAGTCTATGTAAAGAGATATCCAAGAGACCTCTGCCAGCACCTGCTGCATCACCCCAGTTTGCAGAACATCACAGTGGTTCCCTCCTTCCATCCAGAACCCTTCTGGGACCTCTTCCTTGGAGCCTTCACAACCCCCTGTCAGCACCCTTTCTCCCCAGCCTCTTTTACAATCACCTTTGCCTCAGGACCTTGCTCTGGACTCTCCATGTGTGATAATGGCTCCTGCTCTTGGAAGACCCTTCCCTTAGATCATCTCAGCCATGCTCCCATGCACACCCACAGATCTCAGCTGAAGACTGGTGAGAAACACCAATGCCCTGCACTGCAGGTGCCCCTGCTCTTTCCCCCCAGCTGTCTGCATTACTTCCATAAACCAAAAGGGATGGGAGAATTCAGTATGAAGACAACAACAAATTTGTGACTGTTACCCAGGGACAGCAAGATTATTTGGTCTTTGAGGTATGGAAATGAAAGTTTTCCTCTCTGTTGTGCTATAGGTTCCTTGGGTAAATGCCTGGATAAGCCCCTTTCTGTTCACTGTCTCCCCTCCATAAAACAGGATCAGCCTCCTGTTTTGCAGAGGCACTGTGAGCTTATCTCATTCAGCATTTGATGTTGCAGAAGCAAGTTCACATATCAGAAGACAACTACCAGCTTTTGCAAATGCATCTAACTTCTTTCCCTGTCTGTGGTATTTAATTCTCTTTGTTTACGGCTTGCTAAAAAGCCAGACCAATTTCTGCTCAAGGAAAGCTGTGTCTCCCATACAATATTTTCCTCCTAAATCAGCAAAACTGCAATAAAAAGAACCCTGGAGAGGCATGTAGTCCTTGCTTCACTCAAATGTTAATGTTCCCAACCTCAGGACTGTTCGTGCAGAAAAAAGTGACACTTTTAAATAATGGGAAGAGGAGTGGCTCCATTTCACCTCAAGAAGGTGCTGTGCAAATAAAGCAGTGATATTTTTCAGGGCATCCTGGCCCTAGTCCTGAGCCACAGTCACCACAATGTGATGAGCCAGTTGGGGCTGCTGGGAGCTCTGGTGTTTGCATTGGCAGGCTTTTACAGAAGTGATGGGGTCACGAGGGTTATGTCCACTGAAGCCAACAGCAGTGTTTATTTTCACTCTGTTGTGCAAGTCCCACTCTGTACCTGTGTAACTTGGCTGGATGCAGTGATGTAACACTGAAATAATAAAATGAGCTCAATGTTTGTTTTAGATATCACCTGCCAACCTAGAACTTTCTTAAATCTCTCTTGAGAAATAAAGAAAGGACTTAAGAGGAATGAAATAAAACCTGCAAATACTGTAATCAACAGCCTGAAACATTTACTATATCAAAGCCAGATAATGCAGGAGTTTTTACAGGTCTCTGAGTGACTGCTGAATAATAAGGCATATGTTCTTACCTAATTCTGCTTTCTATATGATTCTCAGGCCACTGATAATCCCACTTCCATGAACTTCCATTGAGTGCTGTTTAATGTAGCTTTGACGTGACTTAAACATGACCAGTCACAGTAAATATAAAGAAGGGAGATACTGTGTTGAGGGCATAGGACTGGAAGACTTGGGCTCTCTTTCTGGCTTGTCCATTTATTTCTCTCATGGTCTTAGATGACAGGTGCTATTTTGGCCCTTTTTCCTTTTGTCTCTCCCTTAACAATTCTGCTAAGAAGAATTAACTCACTGGGTCTCCACTCTCTAGGGGTCTGTCCCATGGTCTGGTGGAGTACTGCTCTAGTACAGGCAAAAAGCTCACGTGCAGCCAGGGCTGAAACTACTCCCTGACTCCCAATTCAGCCTCTCAACCACCTCAGTGGGATGAGCAAGATCCAAGGACTTTGCTTTCTTCATGACACCATTGCTTTGCCTTCCCCACCAGGTCTCCTGTGTTACAGCCTTGCAGCATCTGTAACAGGAGGCACAACCATCCTGTACACCCTTACTGTCCCTCTTTTTCTGGGCCAGTACAGGAGAGATGATGTGGAGGCTGGAATCAAGGTCAGTGTTGAGCCAAACCAGCACCCAGCCCCACACATTTGTCCCAATTTTAAGTCCCTCTCTGCTCTCTTCTGATGAAATATCGAGTTCACTTATGACTCAAATTTCTAACATGAAGTCAAGCACCAATTTGCAAACACTTCTGCAGTGGAGAGATTTCTGCTTCCAGAGACACTTATATACCCACACAGGTTCATTTTAAAGAGCTTAAAACAAACACCCAGCACTTAAATGTTAAAAATAAACTAAGGTAACAGTTTAGGCAGGAGCATGCTGCATCTCTGATCATCTGGACTGTTATTGTCAGAAAGAGGAAAGAATGGTTTCTCTCTGTGTCAAGGCTGTTCCATTGCACTCAGCAGCTCTCTGAGATCTCTGCTGCTGAGGGTCTGACGGGTCCCTCTCCCACCTGCCTTAAAAGCTCACAGTGTATGGGCAACCTGAGATCAGTCCCATGATTTCTGGTTTGAAGGCTACCACAGTGAAAACACAGGCTGCTAGAAACCTGTCCCAATAGCACAGCTGTGGGTGCTGTGGGTACTGTTGCTCCCTCAGCTGTGCCAAAGAAGCACCTCTGCCTCTGCAGGTCTCCCTCTGCAGCTGCTCCTGTGGGATGGTGTGGAAACTGTCACCAGGTGGGGGGCAGCCAGGTCTCTTCCCACCCAAATCCCACCAACACTTCCTGCACAGCAGTGGCTGAAGGGGAGGGAGGCCTGGATGAACCCCAGTGCACCCTCCTTACAGCAGCAGGATTCCTTGATTACCAGTTTATGCTGTACTTCTGTTAAAGCTGTGTATTTATTTAGCTTTTTTCAAGCTGTGCAGTTTCTCCCTGACATCTGCTGGGGACAATCTTTCCCTCCTACACTCAAGCTGTGCCCTTTTGCTTCTGTAGAAAATAACAACCTCCTTTTACTCCTCCTCCCCTAAGCATGGCTTTCTTTTCCCCCTACACACACTTTTCCTCCACAAAGCCACCCAAGCTGTCGGAGCAGGGAATGGACAAAGGCAAGTGCTGTCAGTCGGGGTGGAAATGCAAGACCTTGAAACCAAACTGGGCAAAGCCCTGAATCCCAGGCCAGAGAGGCTGGTGCTGTCCCCAGCAGATGTGGTTTGTGTGTGATTTGGCAGCAGAAACACACTCAGACTAAAGCCCTCAAACCTGACATCAGACGTGTTACAAACCCTGTGACATGTGGGAAGGGTGAGGCCTTCATATTTTTTCCCTGTTCTACCTGCAGTTAACAGTGGAAATGCCATTGATTCCAGTATCCCTCTGGACCCAACCTTTCCAGCACCCTAATTTTGGGATCACTGGATTTTCTGGGCACGTGCTACTCACATCTGTGACGTTCACCACCCCGATCTGTGGTCTGAACAGGTCGATCTTGAAGGTCTTCTCCCAGTAAGTGATGAGCTGCAGGAGTGAGACACAAGGCTCAGACAGGGGTCTTTGCAAGGCCCTGCTGCATCATTCAGTCAGCTGGGCTGGGGATGAGGAATGTGCATCCATGCTTGCACGGGGTGGGGGGAGAGAGGAGAGGCTGAATGCAAGTTTGGGTTTGGGCTGCCACACGTGGCAAAGGAAAGCGCTGACTGCTCCGGGGGTGTTCCCGAGACAACGCCCGCTCGGGAGGCAGACCCAAACAAGCAGCTTTCAAGGGCCACTTTCCCATCCTTCCCTGTCCCACATTCCCTGGGGCAATTCCTGCACTCCTGTGTGCACATGCACACCCCCACACACCCCCTCATGCCCATCCCATCCATGAATTGAACCAAGAAAGGCAAAGAGCCTCTGCCACTCACCAAAGGAAAGTCGTCAGGGTCAATCCAGACAATGCTCAGGTCGGGATTATCCGTGTTGTCCCTGGCAACCTGCTTCAGGATTTCCAGGAACTCAAAACCATCTGAAATGATATATGAACCACTGCAACTCTCCTGCAAATGCACAGGCACTTTTTGCTTGTGGGGTTTCCAGCTTCCCTGGCTCCCCTGTGCACACAGGAGTTGTTTATAGTTCTCATTAAAATGCTGTCTCCTAGCGCTTTCTTTTGATAATAAGGCTTTTAATTTCAAGCATCCTCCTCGGGTATTGAAATTAGTTACACATGAATTAAGCCCCATAATCCTTCCGTGGAGTGAAACAATGTCACTATTTTCTTGTGGTGAGGAGGAACTGAGCCCCCAAGAGGCCAAAGCTTTCCGATTTGCTGATGGCTCTGAGAAGCACCGATGCCACGGCTTTTCAGGAGTCGGTGGCTTTGTGTTTCCCACATTCCTATCCCACAGCCAGCCCTCAGCACTCTCCCAGAGCTGCACAGCAAGATGGATGCAGAGTTAGGGAGCAAATCCTGGTACTGGGGTGGAAGGAATGATTTTTTTCCCCAGGCAATCATCCATTTCTATCCAAAATTTGATCCTGGCTAGTACACCTGCTAGCATAAACACCCACTAGGTGTCTACAATGCAAACAAAGTATATGAAAATACACTTTCTTGAAGGATGGAGCGTCACACAAGGAAGAAAATAGGCTCCTACCTGGGTCATCTTCTTCAGCAAAGGCTACGATGTGAATACCCTCCATGTCATCCTCCTGGAAACAACACAACTATTACTGATGGGCCAGGGAGGGAGGACAGAGTCCGGGTGATTGCTGGAGATGGAAGCAGTGGGATGCCTTCAAAAAGGGCAATTACAAAGGGAGGCTTGACTAGAGCCCCACTGAGAAACCAGAAATGGGAGCTGAGGTAAGGCTGCCTCATGGAGGTATTTAGTGCTGAAGGGGGTAGTTTGGGCAGTGTTGCTGAAACTCTTCAGATAAAAATTAGGTGGGCACCATGATGGCAATGGCAAGGGAGCTTCTGATAAGGTGAGGCAAAAGCTTCTCTGAAGAAACGGTCAAGGGCTCTTTAGGATGAGAATAGAGGGTCCCCCTTCATGCCTGAGACCACCAATCCTCATTAATTTTCAGCTCCCAGGGGATGGTTTGCAAGGAAACAAATATCTGCCACCATGCTCAGCTCCTTTGTGGCCAGCAAAGGAGGTTTTCTCACAATATGAGAGGCAAGGTGGCTCATTTGGGCCCCTGTTTGGAGGTGAAGGGTCTCTGCTTTAGGTGAGGGTCTCCGAGAGCAGTGAGGGAAATTGAGTGGGGGGCTCATTTCAGGGCTCCAGTGAGTGGAGGACAGAAATTACAGCCTGGTGGATTACTTTTCTCCATGAAACACATGAGTAATGATATTGGCAAAGGCCAATGGATCTGCTGGCCAGTTCATCATCTGCCTGCTATGAATGTCATCTCTGAATTATCCCATGGATCGGTTTCGCCTTCCTCACCCGCTGTCGGTCCCAGTTTCCATTTCAATTGGTTTTAATGCAAGCAAAAATTCCCATCTAAATGCTAATTTCTTTTCCCTTCTGAGCCCAGAGGTGAAAAAGCCACCATCAAATACTGAAAGGGAAAAAAACCCCCTGAAAGATTAAGTGGAAAACATTATCTCTAAAAACAATAGCGGATGCTCAGCCTTTGTGGACGTCTTCAGGGAATACGTTTTCACCGGGACATTCCAGGCAGATTTACTTGGGATTCAGATCGCTTACAGCTGGCAAAATTTACACTGTTGCTTTTTCTTCATATTCAGCAGCAGCATTGTCAGACAGCAAAATAAAAAATATATCTCTATATGCCACATATAATTACATGTATGTACCGATATAATGCAGCTCTATTCTGGCCTGCAAGGCAGCAAACGAAACTGGACTAACTCCAGTGAAGGCAGCGAGGATGTTGTGACCTGGCAGTGAGATCAGAATCCAGCTCCCTGCCTTCTGTAGCTATGAGCCCACTGCTCATAACAGAGGCAAGCTCTGTATTCCCAAGCTGCTGGTTGAGCAGGCATCCCACCATTGGGAATTCACACTTTTCATGAGGCTGTTTTAGAATATGGCCAGTATGAAAGTGAAACCACTGCATGTGTAATTTGGGTCTCACTGAAGCGCCATTAGAAACCTTGGAGGGGCTTTGGTGGATCTTGGAAGCTGTGTTCTATACAGAATCTGTATTTCAAAACAAAATGAAAAGCTATTGTGCCTAAGTGACTCATAACTCCTGGTTCAGTTTTATTACCTCTTGCCTTGCTGTATTAAATACTCCCAAGGTTTTTGCCACTTTGGAGTCCCGTGGTGTTTCATGTTACACAGCCAAGAAGGGGACATCTAAATGCTGTTATAAATGTGTCAAGTCTTTTGGAAGAATGACTGCATCTTCCTTAGTGTCTGTAAAGCACCTGTTTAGCCTTGTTTTTCAGCATTCATCTGGCACTTGAGAGCCCCTGACTAGCTTTTAACACCATATTCACTCACAGTGAAGGGATAATTTTGTTATACACAATTTTTCTTTCATTTTCACCCTTCTCTTCCCCACCCCTGCAGACCCCAAGAGTTCTCCGTGTACAATAGGGGCCAAAATGCAGGTTAGTTCTTCACAATTGCTGATTTCCATCTTTCTTGCACTGTGAGAAATGCAGTCAATACACGATCTGCTTTGAAGTCTGTATAATTAACTATACTGCCTGCCTTCACTTCCATTTTGAATTGTTCAAGTGCTCTTATACTTTGACAAGGACACGTAGTGACAGGATGGGGGAGAGTGGATTTAAACTGAAAGAGGGTAGATTTAGACTGGATATTAGGAAGCAATTCCTTACTGTGAGGGTAGTGAGGCACTAGAACAAGTTGTCCAGAGAAGTGTTGGATGCTCCAGTCCCTGGAAGTATGCAGGGTCAGGTTGGATGGGGCTTTGAGCAACCTGGTCTAGTGGATGGTGTCCCTGCCACAGCAGGGGATTGGAACCAGATGAACCCGTTGAAGGGTTAAGGTTTAAGGTCCTGTTGAACCCAAACCAGTCTATGATTCTGTGAGTTTCCATGAGACATCTGCACAGTGAGCAGGCCACAGAAATCACCCCACCAGCAGCTCTGGTGTCCTCAGCACTTCGCTGAGATGGAGAATCCTTGGGCAGGATCACTCACAGGCCCCACAGCTGCCTGGCACACTGCTTAGCTTTCCCTCCTCATTCCCTCTGAGAAGCAAGCAGGAGCCAGCCCAGCTCTCCATCGCTGCTGTGCAAAGCCTTTGAGCACCTTGTTTGAAGTGAGGCACTAGGCAGCATAGACAAGGCTTTCCCTTTTTCCCAGAAGAGAGAGAGTAGCCTTGCAAGGAAGGAAAGGTAATGTTTTGCCCAGGCAGAGGCTGCAGCTCTTGAGCAGCAGTTTCTTGTTGGAAGCTGGCAGGGGACACGATGGTTCCCACCACACGTGCTTACCCACGTCTCAAACATGTCCTCTGGGCGCAGCTTCCTCAAGGTGGCCCTGCAGGGGAGACAGAAATGCTCTTTGAGGACATATCCTGCACTGCCACATGTGACACTGTCAGCATCACGGGAAAGGTCACCATGGGCAGGTTTGGTGGAGTCAGCCACCACATTTTGAATGCCAGAATGGGGGCATTGTTTGTCAATTTATGCCTTTATTTTTGGTGATAAAAACCTGCCCATGGCCCCACTGGAGTCACTGCAGCCACTATTTCTGCTTGGGAAGATGAGACACCTCTCTGTGCTGGGATGTGCTGATGAATTAGTCCCACATATGGCAGACTGGTCTGTCTGTGCTGAGAGCATGAGACAACAATCACTTTTGTTTTGGAGTCCCTGGGACATTCCTAATGGGCTTTGTCCCCCCTTTCTCCTGGTTTCACCCCAGCAAAATTTCAGAACAGAAATCTTTCCCACCTCTGCGGAAGCAAAGAAGACAGAATTAACTCTGGGAAGAAAATTAGGATCCTAACAACTACTGACAAGAAAATTTAAACCCTAAGACTGGTCAAAAAAATTATTTTTGAGAAGTACTTCGTAAAGGAAAAAAGATTCATTTTCAGACACATCTGTAGCAGGAAGCCTGGCAGGTTGAGAGTTGACTGGTGTTAGAGGGGCACCCAAGGAACACAAAGCCATAGAAGATGAACACAAAGCCATAGAAGACAAAAACAAATTATCCTTTGTGCATCTGCTTGCTGTGGTATCAGCTGTTTGGGGAGGATCCCCCAGCAGAGCAGGTCTCCCTGGCTGACCTGCCCCAGGACCTGCTGCAAAGAGAGGTGTCAGTCTGTGAGGTTTTAGAACAGATTGGTAGGAGTGGCAGCATGTTGGCAGACCCAGGTGGAATAAGTGAGATGTGTAACCTGTCACTTCAGTTTGCCTAACAAACAGAGCAATGGAAACAAGGGAACATTTTTTAGAGGTTCCTAATGGACCTGAGGAGCCACAGAACTGAGCTCCAGTTAGATAAGAGAAGGAGAATCTCCTGTGGATTAATAACATTGAAGGGTGGAAATAAATGGTCAGTTTTCATGACAGAGGGAATCCACCAATTAAGATCCATAGCATATTCTTTGGCATGATCATATGCATAACATATCCTCACATAATCTGAAAAAGATGGGAAATAGGAATATGGCAGCATCTGCTTATCATATCCAATTCTTTGGCAACCAACAAAGGCCTGACTATGAGTTGATACAGAAGATCTCCTGAGACTTGAGTGTCTGCATGATAGACAAACATATAGCAAGTAACACACTTGCAGAAAACCAACCCTGAGTGTACAGGTGCAGCAATTGGTTCTAAATTAGTTGTAATTAATTTTTGCCTCTCAGGAAAGGAGCCCAGGTGTCACAAATTGAGAAAGAATCAGCTCCAAAGGAAGAAGGCCAAAAGAAGGTTGCAAATAGTTGGGAAAAGGCCAAGGAGTAAAACAGACCATTATGGCAGTGGACAGCTACAGTGTGAGCCTCCACAGTGAAGTTATGTGCAGTTCTGGTCATGCCATCCCAGAAATGATATGGACAATTGAAAAAGGCACTTGGAAGCGTAGGAGTGGTGAGTAAAGATATGGAAGGACCTCTATTTGGTGAAGATTAAATAGATAAGAATTCTTTATCTTGTGAAAGAGGTGACTGAAGAGGGTTTTGGCAGGTATTCTAAAAAATGGGAATGGTAAAGGAAACATGAATAGCTTAGAACATGGCCACAGCTCTAATGACTTTAAGATTGCAGATTTGATCCCTGCACAGGTCATTCACTTAAGAGTTGGACTTGATGGACTTGTGGGTCCCTTCCAACTCAGAATATTCTGTGATTCTCTCCCTACCTTAAGTATTAATCATTGTTCCTCTTAAAAAAGAGTTAGTAGGTGCCCAGAGAAATTATTAGGTAGCAGGTATAAACGAAACAAATAAGAATGGTCTTTTGATACAATACATATTTAAACTGCTGAACTCATTACAATTTGGTACATTCAGTATCAAAACGGATATAAGGTAAAAACAGCTATAGAAATTGAAGAAATAGCCACCAAACACAAGATCAGGGATACAGTTTTTGAACTAGCAGGTCCTTTCATTGTTGATGGTCCAAAACTAGAGATTAAATCAGGTGAATGTGTATTATGTATTTAGGTGTACTTGTACTTGGCTTTTAATACACTTTCCCTAGCTGTTCTCTGGGGGAAGCTCTTGGGGAAAGGAAACTCAGTGGGAAGGATCTGGGCACACCCATGTGTGCTGATTGCTGTGTTGACTCTGGATACTTCCCTGTGTTGCAGGAGCGAGGCAACTGGGGTTTGGGTTAGTAAGAAAGAGCAGAATTCAGCCCCCATGTGGCTACACCTCACTTGCAGACAAGTGGGGGTCCAACCCCAGCATTTTTCATGTGAAAGAGGCACCAACCCAGAGGACTGCACCATGTAATTTGTATTTGTGCCACTGAGAGTGAAATCTGGGCTGAGACCTTGGAGTGGCAGTGACCACCATACTCAGATGGAGACCCACCTGTGCAGCCTTGGATGGGTCACCCCATGGTGCTGAGCACCAGCTTCCTGACCTTCTGTGGAGAGCATGGACCTTCCCACCACAGCCTGCAGCTGCCCAGCTGAGCTGTCTGTAGGGAACCAGCACATGGCTCCTGCTGAGGTTGCTTCATTTTAATCTACAGATCCTCTCTATGACTAATTCCAGCCTGTGGCTTTGGTCCTTTACTGGTGGCAAGGCAGGATGAAGCACTTCTGCTCTGAGAAGCTCAGCATGAGCTACTGGGAACATATCACTGTGACTCCAGGCTTCTTCCCCTGCCATGGCAGCACCTTGGCAGGTTTGGGATGTCAGACATATTGTTTTATTGACTCCTTTTATTTATTTTCTGAGCTTTGGCACTTGCAAAATACATGCCCACCCCCTTTCTTCTACCAAGCACTGCAAAACATCCTGACATATCTAAGACTTGGAGAAATTGCACTGCAATTTTGTGCTGGTGAAGAGTTTCCCTTATTAGGATAGAATTTAGATGGCTGTATTTAATCAGTTTTCTGATGCCGCTGCTTGACAGAAAGAGCTTGGTGAAAAGAAAATGGGAAGGACTAAGGCCAAGAAGCCTAGAAGGTCAGCAAAGTGAATTGTGGGTACATGGAAGATGGAGAAGCCCTTCAGATTTCAGAAAAAGCAGAGAACTGTTTCTGGTGAGTCTCAGATTCTGGAGATGATCTCTTGTCTGTGTGAACACAGACCTCCAGCTGAACCTGATTTGAGATTCCCCTCTCCATATAGATGGCCCTGCTTTCCTCAAACTCATCTGGCCCCTTGATTGTCTGCTGAGAAGTGCAGTTGTAGGAGCAGCAGGTAGCCTGTGTCACTCTCCTGAGGCATGGTTCTAAGGGTATAAAAATACAGCATCTCTGGATAGTTGGGCCCTTATACTTAACCCTGTGCTTTTACACAGGATCAGCCTCTCCAGTGACTTCCAGACTGTTTTTGTAGCTGAGTCCCTAAGCAACTGTGCAACAAACCTGATTGCAAAAAGCACAAGCATCCACAGCTCCTGCTGAGTTGATCAAACACTGTAGGTGCTCAGCATCATTCCCACATGAGGCTCAACACAGCCATAACAGCTGTGGCTTCTTCTCTGTGCCTACAATCAGCAGGAGCCTCATAGTCCATTGTCTGAGCTTGGTCTGAGCTCAGAGACTGCCTCTGGACATATCTGACACCAGGAGAGGGATACACCCATTAGTGAATCTGCTTTTGGGAAGGAGGGGATTGGACAGGCTTTGGATTTGACTTGAAAGGCCTTGGAGAGGGTCACCTTCTGTACAGACCTAAATTAAAAGCATGGGCAACTAGGGCAAGGATTTCACACTCCGCTGCCTTCCAGCCTCACTGCTTTTTGAGTTTTAACCAGGGAGGAGGAAGAGCAGGAGGAGGGAAGCTGTGTTGTCCCAGGTCCCTTGTGGTGAACTATGACTGCTGCACAGATACTTGCACCTCTGGGAGTAGGAAAAAAACAGCAATTTCACAATTTCAAACCTGGGTCAGAAAATCATCAAAAGCAGTCATCATCCTAATGTTTTTTTGAGAGCGATGCCCTAGAGAGGCAAGGTCACAATGACGGATACTTTAACCCACTTACTTTGTCCAGGAGCATCCTGCATGCTACATACCTTCTGTGCTCTCTCACAAAATCAACCAGCTCCTCTTCTGAGTAAGGCTTATCAGGGATGTGAACAGGCTCATCCATAAAGGGTTCATAGAAGTCCACCTCATTCATCTTTAGGCCAAGCTTCTTGGCAACCTGTTGCAGTGCAGAAGTCACAGGTGAGAGAGTCTGAGGTGGCTCTTTGCCTACCCAGAGTCTTTGCTGCTGGCAGAGCTGAGATCAAGGTGCTTCTCCCAGAGCATGCACTCCTAGGGGTGGCCCACAAAATAAAATGGATCTCTCCTTGTTTAACAACCCATTGATGACCCTACACTACTGGTGTCAAGCACTGAGGCAGAGCAAAGCCACAGCCCAGGGCCTGCTGACCTAGAGGGGCTGGGTTCCAAACCCACATCAGGACCTGCCTCCATGCTGCAGAAATTGCCTTCTATCTTGCAACTGGGCCAAAATATCAATGTAGACACCAACACCACTGATGCTGTTGAGACAGGGACAGAAAGACTCCATTCTTCAGGTGGATCAGAAGGCAAAAACATTTAATGAAAGTAGTGGGTCTTTTTATAATGTGACTTGCTAAGGTGATACTTGATTGGTGTCAAAGTAGAAACATCTCACACCATTGGTGAACTATGAATAGCACACTTTGGAGAACTATATCTATAAACAATGGTTACAGAAAGAGAGATAATAAATGTTTGGATTTTTTCATCTAAATTTCTTACAGCTTCTACACAGCTTCCCAGGATTTTCCCAGGAAAACTATGTCTCTCTCTGTTCAGAGGATATGTAATTGCTACACTCCACAAAATCCAGGAATGCTGAAGCTGAAACTAGACAATAGATCTGGGAACATCCTGAGCTCTCAGCAAACAGGTGGTGGCATATGTGAGCTACCATGAAGATGTGTGGATGCTTACCCCCTTGTCAAAGGTGGCAAAGAACTTTACGTAGGGCTGGAAATGTTCAGCAGCTTCTTCAAATGCCTTGAAATCTGGAAGGAGAAAAGGGAAATGAAGAAGATATTTCACAGACAGCTGGCCACAGTCTGATCAGCCCAGAAGGTACTGGGGGAAGAGCAAATACAAATTACTGCAAACTCCATCAGATGATTGCCCAATGTTTCTTCCACCCTTCCAGGGTTTACAAAGAAGGATGATTTCATGTGCAGCAATGTGCTGTGCAGTCCCACAGTGTTCAGGAAAGCTGCAGAGCCCAGCATGCCACACTTAACTGGGGCTGAAATCAGCAGCTCTGTGAAGCAGGTCCAGGGGTAGCTCAGCTGGGAAATACACGGAGTTGCTCCAGCATTAAGGATTGCTGCCATTCCCTAAACAGTCACCAAGTGTGATCAGGCAGGCTTCTCCCACTGCAGGTAAGTTTTTACTGTAACTGCTACCAGGTCTCCCTGAGCCTCAGGGTTCAGGAAAGATTCAGCCTGCCGCGGGACTTTACAACAGGCATTTCCCACCTTTCTTTCAGTCATTATTACTGAATAGTGTTAGGATCACAGCCCTGCCCAAGCTGCCCTGCAGCCCAGTTTGAGAAAGATGAAGGGAGGGGTGGGTGGGCTGTTGCATTGCAGACCGGGTGATATGTGGTTTGTTCACTTAGGAATACCTGTCTTTCTGCTAAAGGCAGGACATGCCAGCATGGGGTGCACGCTGCCAGCACTGCCCAGATAGCAAGGAGAGCACTTGGGGCTGGCAGATGAGACTGCAGGGCTTGACAGGGAGATTCTCATGTGAGGATTTTTCTAGGCTGGTGAAAGTTGAGTTTGCCCAGAATGGTCCCTGCGAAGATGGGATAGCCTGGTTAGAGAGTGAGAAAACGAGATTAGTTTTCCCACAGTGGACTTGTGAGACTTTTTAGGGAGTTGTAGAGAAATTATGATAACTTGTCTTTGTAAACAACTTGCAGGTGGGGTTTTCTTACTCTGTTTTTTTTGTTCTTCTTAAGGACTGTTTGTGAGAAAGATGTTTTTGTTAATTAGCTAATCAAGTAGGATGTATCAAAACTGTTTATAAAAAGAGAAGAGTTTTTCACATTAAAGCTGCTGTTGCGCAAACCAGCCTGCTTGGAGTCTGTGCCACTTTCTTACTCGATAGCGACATCCCTGAGTTGCACATCCCAGGGCATGGGACCAGCCTCTTCCCAGTCTTGGGAGTCAGCAAGGAGGAAGAGGTCAGTGCCTCTGCCAGGCTGCTCCAAAGGGCCCTGCTCACTGCTGCTGTATGTTTGCCACGGTGGTATTTAATGTGTGTTCCCCTTTCCCTTCCCTCCTCCCTCCTTTGATCCTTTGGCTCACTGCTCACAGGAAGGGGCACTTTGCTCTCTCAGTGTAACTGTAAGCTCAGCTGATTTTTGGGTGAGGTAAACTCACTTTTACTGCAGGAGCCCCTGGATTATGGCTCTCTTCTCTTGCCAGCAGACCCCTTGCAGAAGGGTCACTGATGCTGGTGTAGGACTGGGCTCACACATTACATCAGCAGAAACCTGCCTGCAAACACACTCATCCTCCAGCAATTTTCACTCTGTCACAGGCTGCCATATGCCACACCACCCTTCATGTTCATGCAGAACAACCAGTGCCCAGCCCCTGGAGCTCCCAGGCAGGCTCCAAGGCCCACGGGGAACACGTTTATCTTACGTTCTGAGTCTTCTCCCTTGAAGTAGCCGATGAGCTTGATTTCGTCGTCGATCTGGTCAAAGGCCTGAAGCTCCAGCTTGCTGTTGATGATCTCCACGGGGTCTTCCAGCAACTGCCATGACAAATGCATGTGGTAACGCAGTGATTTGCAGCACCAACCTATGCCTGGCAGGCTGTGCCACAAGCAGCCTAAGCAGGGAGAAAGAGGTCACCCAATTTCTCTGCTGTTGGAAGCCCTGCTTAGTGCTCTCTGCCTTAACGTGAGGAGCTGAGAGAAGTGGGTCACCTTCAAAGGGAGATGTTAGTAGGTTCACTGCAGAGGTGGGAGCATCGAGAGGGAGGCTGATAGAGGACTGGGTAACCCAAATGAATGCTGAGGGACCTACTTTGATGAGGGATAAGGAGTAGCAGTTGCAGCTGGCTTTAAGGAGGCCAAGTTGAAAGGAGCTGGTATGATCATTGTGATCATTTGTGAATGATACATGTGTATCTAAATCTATATATACTTTGTTTTTTCAAGTGTCGTTTGCTGGAAGAGGTCATTGCAAAGATTTTGCTTTTGAAAAACATTAAAACCAGCTCGCTAGAGGGTGACCAAACAGTGATTTGGAGGAGTAGAAAGCCTGGATGTGAATTTTCATGGCTGATCCTCATCCTGGGCAAAATAGTTTAAACCTATTCTTTGGTCCTACACACATCACCATGTTAATGAGGAAGCTGGAAGACCTGTCTGCTGTCTGGCACTTTAGACTGTCATTGATCCAAACTTTGTTTCTCTTTTCTTAATTTTGGTCACTGCTGGTGAAAAGGCTCAGTCTGATTATTTTGCCCAGCAATATTGGTATAAATCAAGTGTGTTTTCACTAGAAGAAAAAAACAGCAGGCAACCCACTGCCTACAGAGGTGTAAAGAACCTCTGAGTTTCTTCTACTTTTCAGATGAGGCTGCCAAGGCACCACAGATATGTCTGGTTTTATTTTTTTGCTTTGTATTTTCTTTTCCGAGTGGAAAACACAAAACCAGAAATCCTTGCTCTCTTTCTTTTTTCACAGAACATGATTTTTTCAGTGACACACCGCATGGCATAGCAAGCAAAACCTCATGAAGTGCCTTACAGCATCTGAGAGTGATGCTCCAGTGTGAGGCTGTGCCTTTGTTGTGCCCACAGCAGCATGTGCAATTTCCTGCTGCCAGAGTGGCCTGAGCCATGGAAACCTGGGATCCCACTGCTGCAGGGTCATGGCAAAGCTCTGCCCTGTCTGTGGCCCCTATGGGTGGGGCAGATGCCCATTTCTGTCCCTGAAGCCACTGGCATGTGTTTTGGTCACAGCACCCAATGCACACAGCCACAGACATTGTCATGGGAGAGCTGAGGTCCAAGGGATCTGTTTTAATTCCCTGGCCATGCCCCTCCTCACCAGCAGTCCTGAAGCACAGGTGACCATGTAGGCAACCTGCCACCCTGGGAAAAAAACCCTGCCAGCTCTGCTGCTCACCTTACCTCCCTTATCTCCCTTATCTGCACAGCCACTTACAAAGAAAGCCTCACTTCAAAGGAAAGCCAAATCACTGCAAAATGTTTTCATTTATAAAGCAAAAACCATAGGTTTTGTTGCCTCTACAAGGAATGAAATGTAAATAAAGAGAAGTGCAACATATAGTTGTGGGATTCAGCATCACTTTTGCATTTAGGCACAAAGGTGAGTACATCATTGTGCTCATGCACAAAATGACCCAAGACCATTTAGTTCTAGGACCCTGAACTCCTCTCACTTGTGGCAGTGCAATTTGGCAAGTACACTGAAGAGATGCTACGTTGCTTGTGTCTAGAAATGGGCTGATAGTTTGCAACATAAGCCTTTTTCAATGCACTGAGCTCTTTTTAGTTGCTCTACTAGAACCCTATTTCTTGGATATTCTTTTTTTGAAAATAGCTCTTTTTTAAAACAAGAAAGAAAAAGTGTGAAAGATTTTGCAAATGGCAAAGTGTTTGCACATGAGCTTGCTAGCTGAGGTGGGTGAACAGCAGTCAGTTATGATTGTAGCTGACTTCCACTCAAATATACTCTACAAAGGCAAGAGGAAAGGTTGTCTCTAAGATATAAAGTGTTTAGTGGCATATAAGGATACCATCTTTCCTGGGATCTCATGGTCAGACAGGTATTGGGGAAGATGTCAAATGCCATCTCTACCAGTGAATAACAAGCAGGGATGAAATTTCAAACAAAGGTACACTTGTATTTTAGCAAACTAAGTATTTGCAAGGTCTTCTCTGAGAGGTTTTATCTAGCTCTGAGCTTATCTGTACTTACATCCAAGAGGAATTCCACCAAGACATCTGCAGACAGTTCCCCATCAAATTCAACCAACCGCTCATCCTTAAAGACATAGAGACTCCCCTCTTCAAGCAAGCCTGAAAGAAGAAGAGAGGAAACAACAAGTGGTTAACATGTTGTTAAAAGCATGTTTAGTGCAGAATGTCTTTCTTGTTATCCCAACAATTTGTCCTGGGAAAATGCAATTGCCAGTTTGCTGTGTTGGTCCAGTTAGAAACAACCTGGGTGATCTCCTGACTGATGTTTCATGACACAGGGGACAGACTTCAGCCAGAATTGGTGCTAACTTCTTCCCAAACGTTGAACTTTTCATTCAGGTCACAGTTTGGTCTCAGCTGGAAAAATTCTGCACCAGAAACTTGTTTTAGCTTGGCTGTCTATCTTGCAGTAAATACTGGGCTCTAACTGGCAGCTCAGATTTTAACAACATGTCACTATATGGAAACTGGATTTTGATTCCGGTTGTGCTCACTGTCCAGAGAAGGCTGAACTATGTGAGCGTCACCAGTGACCTGAAAGTGAGCTTCAAACTGTCTGAGGCTTAGCTGGCCTTGGCAAAAGGGTTAGAAACCAATGATAGAGATACCACAGACTGCAGGGTGACAGGTTTCAATGCTGTATCACTGGACTGAGGACTGAGTGCCACAGAACCTTATTGGAGGCTCCAAAATCAACAGCACTGGTCTCCTGCAATGCAGGATTGCAGGGTACCACTGGCCAAGGAGGCTGGTAGTTTGTTTCTTCTTGGAGAGGCAGAAGCTCTTGTCTTTTTTTTAGCTCCCATTAGCAATCACAGCCTCTAATTTAGGAAAGAAAATTACAGTCCAGTATGCTTAAACCTTAGGTTTAGTGGTATATTTATGTGCTGTTGTATTAATGTGACACAACATTTCCATATTGCTTTGTGGGCTAAAATATGAAGGGACTGCCAGGCCCTGGAAGGCAGCTGTGTCCAGGATGGGCAATGCAGCATCCTTCCCCCTGTACAGCAGATTTCCTCTTTCACTCTGGGGAACAAGCCAGAATGATTGGCACCTGACTGCCAAGCCATTGCAAGGCTGTGGCTGCCCCAGTGGTTGACAGGGGTCACTGGGCCATGGGACTGATGACATTTTTGGGGACTAAGTGTTTTCCCTGTATGTTCTAGTTCTGTATTGCTGTGTTGGTCCTGTCTCTGTGTAGGAAAAACAGGAAGTTACTCCATGGCACCTATTTATTATTTCTGCACAGAAAGCTGTGAACTTAGACCCTATCGTCATTACAGCATGAATTGAATTTCTTTTTCACTTGGTTTACTTTGCTTTGCTTTTTCTGGAAGGGTCTTGGCTTGTCCCTCTCATCCTCACCCCCACCTCTGATCCTGCCCCTGTTGGGGTGGGCAGGTGGTCAGTGTGCAAGTGCCACCATCATCCTCCCCATGCTGGTAACAAGGATTTGACTGTCCTCTAAGGGCCTCCCATAGGCACATCACTCCCACAGTCTCTCCAAGCTATTCTAGAGATGTCAGACCTGGGACTCACCTAACTTTTTGGCAAGCTTGGCATCCTTCTTGGAGTCCACCATCCCAAAGCCAATGCTCCTGGGCTCCAGGACCTGAGCTGCCAGCTGTGGGAGGAAGCAGAGAGCCCAACATTAGTAGGATTAACACCACAGGGTAGCTAAAGGGCATCATGCCCTGTTAGCACGATATGACAGACAGAAGTGACCCATATTCTGCTGCTGAACAGCACCAATGGGTGGCATGTGTCACATGCTGCCTCTCTGCTGAGATAACCCAGAGGTCACAAGGGTTGGGTTTGTTCCCATTGTGTTGCAGCAGGGAGTTTGCTGGCTCTACCATGTTCTGTTTGACACTGACCTCAGGAGAGGGCTCCTGAGTGAACTGGGGACACCAAAGCAGGGGGGATGGCTGGAAGGAAGTCCCGTGCCACCAACACAAAGCAAAACCTGTTTCCTCTGTGGTGCCTTGGTGGCCTCCTGCAAGGGAGTGTGCCATGGGCACCATGGACATTTTAACTCTGGAAGTGCATGGTGGCAGGCAGCAGTGTGTGCAGGACTCTGCAGCATCATGTTTTCTTCATGCATGTGGTGGGGTGGCCAAAGCAGGCTCCTTTCCCTATGAAGTGCTTAAAGTCATGCCTCCTGTCCAGGCTTCAGTAAGCACCCAGATCCTGATCCCCTGTTTTTACTAAAGAAATGCATCTAAGCCCAGCCATGCTCTTGTTCACCTTTTCACAGCTTTGCAAAACCACTGCACCCTGTTCCCACCATCTTTGACCAAGGGGCCTCTTGAAGATATCGAGTTCCTGCCTGTTTTGTGAAAATAGATATGTGAGGAAAGGAGAGACGCTCTGCAAGGGGCCAGTGGTGAGAGCGGCCCCGGGTGAGACCCTGTGAATTCCAAATTGGCTCCCAGAGATGCACTGACCCTGGTAAATGGATCCACTTATGCACTGCATGACTGACAGCCCCACCACAAGCATACTAGAGACCCTAGAAGGTAGTAATGATGCTCTGAGAACCACCAAGCAGCTGTAAGAGGCTTCTCCTCCTCCCTCTCCCTTCCTGCTGCACAAATGCCTCTGATGCTGATGTCTTCTTGCTGCTCCTCCTCCCAGCCCTGCCGGATGGCGGGGGATGATGGAGATGAGGGGTCAGGAGCCTCTGGGGCAGGAATGTCCCTATTAGGGCACAGCTGTCAGTGCTTGGCAGCAGGAGGCTGGAGGGGGGCAGAAGAAAGGCATGGCCAGAGAGATGGTGGGTTGATTTATGAGGAAGCTCCCCCCCTGCCCCAGCTCATTTTGGCTCCCTCCCCCAGACTCAAAGCCAGTTTGAATGTCACCCAGCAGCGCTGCCACCATGGCCACGTGGCCCCTTGGCTCCCTGCTATAAATAGCTTCTGCCTGTGCCAGGCCTCTGTGAGAGTGAGCAGTGATTAGAGACATTGGGGAGCAAAAGTGGCGGGGCAGCCACCTCTCCTGTGCAAGGGGGTGTCATGGGGCCAGCCAGCTCCCTGTGCTGTCAGCCTGTCCCTGAAATTCTGGGGGATGGTGGCAGGCACCCTGGGGATCAGGGCTCAGGGACCTTGCTTGAGGAATAGGAAGAGATGGAGAATGTAGTTGTTCTCTCCCTTCCACCAATTGCACATCCTCAGGGCTGTCCCAAAGGCCCTCCTCAGGAAAAAGACTCCGCTGACCACCACAGCATTGCTGCAACTTTGATCCTCTGCAGCCACCTGCCCTGTTGTCTTTAGGGGCAGATGCCACCATGGGAGGCAAAAGGGGTGCCTGTGTTACACAGGAAACAGGGCTGGCATTGTTCTTTCCCTGCTCTTTGCCAGTGCTTTGAAGTGAAGCTAAGGCTGCCGATTCAGGGCTTGTGCTTACAGTGGACACTGCCTGAAAAGGGCAGAGCACTGGATTGTGTTTGCACATCCATTGATTAGGCTGATAAGGCAATGGTCTGGTTTAGCATCCCATCTGGCGGCTCAGGTCACCTTAGAGCACCTGAGAGCAGCTGGAGCCCCATATTTGCATTGACAGATAGACACATGAGCTCTCTAGACATCTGCAAGTGAGTGGTGGTAAGAGAAGAGATTTTCTGTTTCCTGTTATGGGGATCTGCCCTGACTGGACAAAAGGATGGAGCCTGTAGGATCATCAGCTTTATCGGACATTGTCATCACGTCCCTGCTTGTTGGTGGTTGTGTACACAAGCAAGAGGCTCCTGAGAACCACCACTTGAGACTCTGGCTGCTCTGTGACCAGAGGAAAACACAGAATGGCCAAGGGAAGAAGACTTGTTCAGTCATGTCCAGTCCAGTCCATACTTGATTTAGTTACTTACAGTTATGTCAGCCACGGGCCAGACACAGTCAGGGCAGTTTAAACCCAGTAGTTCTTGACTCCTGCACACAGGAGATGGTTAGGGTTTCTTGTGAGTGTTTGATGGTCAGAAATATGCAGAAAAGCTGCAACACCTGCTACAGACAAGTGGTTGGATGTGAGCAGGGATGTGTGCAAGGAAGGAAGCATTGATCAGAACTCATGTATGTCAGCATGCAGCACACACAAGGTTGCTCTTCGGAGGGGTGTGGGCACAGTTCTGTAGCTGTGAGCATGGAAGCTTGCTGGAAAAAAAGTGTCAAGAAAATGTGGGTGATGTGATGAAAGCCTCTTTGTGTGAGACTGTGGGAGTGCTCAGTCATCAAAAAGGGTCTCAGTAATGCTGGAGGTGTGGCTGTTTGTGTGGCAGGGTTTGTGTGACTGTGTCTAGCAAGACTGTCTGCTGGCGGTGTATGTATGGTGGGTGTGAATGTTTGGAGGTGCTGCTCTGAAGAGGCTCGTCCCCAGAGATGTGCAGCAGTTTGGGCATACAGGAGAGTGCTTGTGCATGGTGTGTGAGTGTGCCTGAGGGGGCAGAGCTGGGAGCTCAGTGGGCAGCCTGCCTCCTCTGCAGGGACCTTCATGCCAGTGAGACACTGAGGAGAACAGTACAGCCTGAGCTCCTCTCCAGAGCAGGGTCTCAAACAGGGAGGTCTTTGTGCAACATGAGACTTTCAGGAGCCCTTCCTACTGTGGCAGAGCCTGGAGGCAGGAGGCTTTGCAGGGTGTTTATGGTGGCATTTGCAAGTTCAAGCTATGCAGGGGCTGGGCATTGCTCCTGGCCTTGCTTTCTCTGCTTTCCACTGCTGCAGGAGAGTCTAACCCGTGCATAGGTGACAATACATTCCCACACCTATATTTGAACCACAAAAGGCAGCAAAATACGGAGCATGCCAGAGGCACAACAGTTTGGCTAATTCCCCCTACTCATTACAGTATCAAGCATTTATATATCCCCTTACAGTATTTTCTGATTCCATAATGCTAGTGGGATTTGAATGCAGATAATGTTTCTAATCTTGACAATCCTCTTGGCTCAGGGCCTTGGGACAGAGGCATCTGTAATCTAAGAGCACAGCCCCTCCTCCTCCTGCCTTTAAATTCATATTGCTCGAAGTCTTGGCCAGCCAGAGCCCTTGCCTTTGTGTCAGCCTCTATCTCTATAGCACATAATTTAGCTTCAACAGCTGCACAGAGACATGGAGGGTAGAAACTGCCCTGGAAGAGCTGGACAAAACAGATCATGCAGTCCCTGAGGTACAGCAGGAGCTTTGGGCTGGCAGAGTTGGCTGAGAGCAGAAGCAAAGAGCCCAGTAGGTTGTAAGTTCATGTCCCATGCACATTTTGCAGCCTTATTCTCATGTTCATGAAGTCTTTGCAGTGCCTACTTTCTACCCATAGGATCCCAAGCTGTGGCCTGTGCAGCACTGGGAAAAAGAGGTGGGAGTTTGGCAGCACTACTCCATTCTCCCATATCCCTCAGGTAATAACCATTCTTGAGTTTGGGTGAGTGTGAGGGGGTGAATGACCCTCTGGGATGTGTGGGAGGTCCAGCCCAAAGTGAAGTTTGACTGCTACCAAGTATGCAAGAACCCTCTCATGCTGGATGGTGTCAGCAGTTACAGGCATTCAGAGTAATGGATATGGAAAGGCACAGCTCCCTGCCCAACATCTCAGCTCCACACCCACTGTACCTATCTGAGCCTAGGTGTGATGCTGGAAAGTTTTGGGGAGATTTAAGCAGTCCCATAGGGTCATTCTGAAATCCTTGGTTATACAGCAGCAGAAATGTCACTCTCTGCCTGACCATGCTCCTATTCCAGCTGCAGGCAGCAATGATTGTGCCAAACCTTGCACTTGTCAGTTTTGCTGCTAAATGGCAGACAAAAATCCCTCAGAGAGGGTTAAAAATGGGAGTGGGAGAAGTGGCTGCCTCAGCATGGTCAGTTTTCATTGTGAAGTGACATTATGGCATTCTGGCCTGGATTTTCTTCCCAATTCTCTAGCACCTGCCCAGAGCTCCCACAGACAATAAGGCTCATCTTCCCCAGCTGCTCAGGCTTGGGAGGAAGGGCTGGGGGCATTTGGGCATCTCTGAAAGGTATCATGAGTACACTTCTCTTAACCATGGGGAGCTTTCTGTTTTGCTGTTTAGCAGTGGAGGAAGAACAAAACTCCAGCAATGCAGAGAGAAGAGCAACAGGAGATGATGAGGAAAAGTCCCTCAAGCAATCTACACTCCTCTGCTGGTTCTCTCCTACTGTCTTTAATGCTGCAGTTGATGCTGATGGTCAGAACCTGGCTGATGAAATGATGATGATTTTATATCCCAGAATGGTAGGTTTTTATTTTCAGAAAGAGCAGGAGGAGATGGCAAGTTTTTAGTGTATTTCCCCAGAAGTTTTGAATCCTTATGCAGGACTCCCACATACACGCTATAGTTGGCTACTCTGTTTGAGACATTGGGCAGTTTCTTGGAGAACAGAGGCCATTATTTCTCTTTCCTAATGCTGTGCTGTTCCCACTAGCACCCCCTTGCATGCCACACCAGTAATATCTTATGCTTTTCCATAGTTCAGGCTGTCCTGAAGCACTGTGGTGATCAAAGAGTAGGGCCAGAAGCCTGCTGAGCAGCTGCCACTAGAAAAGTCACTAAGTCACTTTGCTGGCAGTAGGGACTGAAGGAGAGTATGTTGGTCCCACCTTACTACACTTTTCCAC